GGGGGTTTCAGTCTCTCCAATCTTCGGAAAAGTCCACTTAGAGTCTGTAAACGGACACAACCCTTTACTCAGAGATAGTGACCCCGACTTAGACCTCATTCCTCTCAGGTGAGGCCCATTGTACGAGTGAGGTCACTGCCTTAAATAAGATGCTGCAGCACCGTGGAGCTAAAGTTGGCCCATCTGATTCCAGGCCCTGTTTCCCCAGGACTCAGGGGCCTCCAGCGCACTCACTGAGCCTCCACCTCAGAGGCAGGTTATGCTCCTGTCTCCATTTTTATAGATGAAAATATTGAGGCTCCAGGGGGAAATATTGGGTTGTCAGAAAAGTCATGATGTATTTTTTCTATGTTTTTCGTTTCAAAAATGCATCGTGACTGTTCCAACAACCCAATAATTTGTTCCAAGTTATCCAGTAAGTGGTAAAGCCACATTAGACCCAGGTCCCTCTGCCATTGTGTAAAGGAGCAAACAGAGGCTCAGCGAAGGAACCTGCCATGGCCACACAGTAAGTGATGTCCCCCCACTCCCCACCCCCAGGCCAGGGGTTGCTCCACCCTCACGTGACAGGCCATCCAAGGCCAGCTCTCTGCATTTCATCAGGCCCAGGAGTTCCAGTCAGAAGCCACAGAATAGCAGGACTGGGGAGAGTGGGGAAGGTGAGCTTGACCGTGGCTGAGACCCTGCCCTGAGCCGACAGTTTCCCTGAACAGTCCTCTCAGCCCCTGTAGTGCCCAGCAGCAGTGCTTGGCCCAGACTCAGTCCCTGCACATGGTCTACAGGAGAGACAGACCCTGTCAGATGGGCAGTGACTCAGGGAGATGACACGTGGAGGCCCAGAGGAGAGGTCCTCAGCCCACGAATCATTTCTGAGCACCTACCATGTGCTGCACTCTGTCTAGGTGCTGGGCTACAGCAGGAGCCAAATATACAGGAGACGCTGCCCTTAAGGGGCAGGCATGCCAGCAGAAGGGAGAAATGAAATAAGGCCAGAGGAGCAGCAGGGAGGCAGGTCCCACATGCCTCATGGGCCATGGTTTAGCCTTTGACTTTTGCTCTGAATGAGTGGGATGCAAGAACAGTGTGATCCAACAGGATCTTGTCGGTGTAGTGAGATGAGACTGAAGCAGGCAGGCCCAAAGCAAGGAGCCCAGTGAGGAGATGATGGTTGCTTTGGCCTGAGTGGCAGTGGTGGAAGTGGTGAGAAGTGATCAAATTCCCGGGATATTTGAATGTAGAAACAATAGTATTTGAGCATGAATTGGATGTGTGTGTGTGGGGGGGAGGGGCAGGGGGGGAAGAAAGGAGTCAAAGATGACAGATGGGGACAGGGAAGATTACAGTTTGCGCACATGTTATGGGAAGATCATAGGTTCATCTGGGGAAGTCAAGTTTGAGATGTTTGCTATACTTTGAAGTAGAGACAAGGAGTAGGCCAGACCTTTAGATTTAGAAGAAATGGGGGGAGAAGAGGAAGCAGTCAACAGAGAAACCAGAGGACTAGAGGGGGTGTTAGCACTGCTGGCTCGTCAGGTAAGAGGAAGGGTGAGCACAGACTTTGAGATTTGGGGGGTGGGCCCCTCCCCCACTGCAGCCTCAGCCTAGGGCTTGGTCTGACAAGAGAGAGGTGTAACCACTTCCCCAAGGCCATGGCCAACCTAGTTCTTTCGGTTGCTCCTATTGGCTCTTATTACACATAGTCTCGTGCAGCTTTGTGTTTGTGAGATTTGTCCACTTTGACGCACATAGCTCTAGACCGGGGTCAGCAAACTAAGGCCCTCCCTTGGGCCAAGTTTGCTTTAGCAAATAGCCACTGCCATGCCCATTCTGGTTGTCTAAGGTTGCCTCCACTTTCCTACAGAACTGAGTGGTTACCAGGACCACATGGCCTGCAAAGCCAGAAATATTTACTGTCTGGTTTTTTAAAGGAAAAGTGCAGACTCCTTCTCTCCCTCTTTCGCTATAACAGTGTGTTGTTCTGTTATAGGAATACACAAGATATTTAACTGGACATTTACCGTATTTTCCCATGTATAAGACGTACCCTTTTTCGAAAAATTTGGGGTCTAAAAACTGGGTGTCTTATACAGTGGTTGTATGAGCACAAAAACAAGCGCAAAGAAAGCGGGAAATGCAAGTAAAAAACCCTACAACCACTGTATAAGTAAGACGCACCCAGTTTTTAGACCCCAAATTTTTCAAAAAAGGGTGAGTCTTATACATGGGGAAATACGGTAGGTGTGTCCCAGTTGTTTTGCTATTATAAAAATGCTCCAATAAACATACCTAACTGGGTTTCTTTGGGCTCATGTGCACTCAAAAGTAGAATTCCTGGTTTGTAAGATATGGGCATCTTCAGTTTTGATAGATTTTGCCAAATTGCTCTCCAGTATGGCTGAAATGATTTACACTCCCATAAGCAGCGTAAAAAGTTCCCATATTCCTCGAAAACTTGGTGTTGTGTGTTGCCAGACTTGATTAGTTGGCAATCTTTTATTGTTTGTAGATTCCTTTGGTTATTCTGGCTGGGAATGATACTTTTGCTCTTTTCTTAGTCTTGGTGCTCTGGCTGGGACCGCCATACAATACTGTATTTTGGTCAATGAAAAAATTTTAAATTTTGTTCCTGGCTTTAAAAGGAATAATGCTTAACATTTTACCATATACTTTGGTGTTTTACCATTAAATATAGTGTTTGCTGCAGGTTTGGGCTTTTTTTTATTTTGGGAGAATTAGGAAACCATTTGGACTAGTTGGCTTTTTGAGGTATATGGCTACTCAGTTTGCCTATTTCTTTTTCATTTAGTCTTGGCAAATTATCTTTTTTCTAGAAAATTGTCTATTTCATCTAAATTTTAAATTTACTGGCATAAAGTTTATCTAATTTTTGTCACTTCTGATATATATAGTTATGTCCCTTTTGAAATTAATCTTTATTTTATTGATCTTTTCAAAGGTCTATGTTTTGTGGTCCATACTAGTGTTTTTGTTTTCTATTTCTGTTCTTCATTATTATCATCCTCAACTTGCTTTGGGTTTACACTGTTGTTCCTTTTTAAAATTCTTTGACACTGCTCATAAAGCTCCTATATGCTTACCTACTGTAACAAGGCTATAAATCTTCTAATTGCTGCTTTAGTTGCCCTCTCCCCCGCTCTGAGTTTTTATTTTATTCTCATTTTTAGTTTGATCTAAATAGTTTCATTTCTGTATGATTTCATCTTTGAGTAACAAGTTTTTTAGAAGAATGCTTAAATGTCCAAACATTTGGAGCTTACTTGGCTCCTGTCTGTGGTCAGGGTCTATGGTCTGTAGGAAATTGACTAGTTGATATCTGTTGAGAAGTTTCTTGGAGTCTGGCAGCTAGGTTGTTTTTTTGTAAATGTCTCCTGTGTGCTTGAAAGTAACATATTGGGTTCAGGGTTCTATCAGGGTCCATTGCTCAGGATTATTAATAGTATTAACATCTTCTATATTACTTTTTGGCTGTTTGGTCTATCAGTTACTGAAAAAGGTCTTAACTTAAATCTCCTACCATGCTGGAGGATTTGGCAATTTTTCCTTGTATCTGGTCACTTTTGCTTTATACATTTTCAATACTTTTTTTTTAACTTCTAACATACAAGTTCAGAATTGTTATATTTTCCTAAAATTGTCCCTTTAATAATTTTGTAGTGACCCTCTTTATCCCTAACCATGTCTTTTGCCTTAAAGCCTATTTGGTTTCATTTTCTTATAGATACCTTTTGGTTAGTTTTTTTCAAGTATACCTTTGTCCGCCTTTTTACTTTTGGTGTCCTAAGGTTTTTAAATGTCCCCTTGTAAATAGTATAGAGCTGCATTTTATTTTTCTTGGCCAATCTGATCATCTGTTTTAATAGGTGAATATAAAACATTTTCTATCTCTGGTTTGGCACCATTTATAATCCTTTCTTTTTACTTTGCTTCCTTTTTCTTCTTTTCTGCCTTCCATTACATTTTAATACCCTTTACTAACCTTTTTTCTGCATCGGAGTTATACTTCCTATTCTTTTAGTGATTTCACTTAAGTGTCTGAAACACATAGTTGACTTTACAAAGCTGAACAATTATCATTATCTTTAATTTCCTCCTCTTGTATAAATCAAGCTTCTTAGAACACTTGAACGCGGGTTACCCTCTCCAGTCTTACCTGTTGCTGTGTTTGGTGCTCCTTGTTTTGCACTCCACAAATTAATCATCACTATTCATGTTCCAATTAAGGGCTTGTTTAGATGACTTACATGTTTACCAATTGGGTTGCTCACCATTTTCCCATCTAATTTCCTGTTTTTAGAGCTCTGCAAATTCACAACAAAGTGCCTAGATGCTTGTATTTATCCTGCTCTGGATCTTATGTGAGGATCCTGGTCTTGAATCAATTTGGGAAGCTCTTTTTCAGGAACCGCCTCCTATTTTCTTTTCTCTCTGGAACTCGAATTGGACATGTGCGTTCTTCTCACTTTACCATTCCAGTCACTTCCTCTTTTGTATATCCTATCACCTTTTTTCTCTATTTAATTGCTTCTGATTATCTTCCACTTCAGAGATTCTCTTCTGCTGTGTCTAATCTGCTTTCTTGCCTCATCCTTTGAGACTTGAATTTCAATAGCTCTATTTTTCAATTCTAGAAATTCCTTTTAAAACCTCTATGTTCCTTTTTAGTGTCTTGCTCTTTCATGTTTTAATCTCCCCCTCCCCACCTTTTTCTTTCTTTAACTATAAGCTTCACGAAGGCAAGGAGGATTTTTGGTTCACTGCTGTCATTCTCAGCGCCTCCTCATACTGTCTTTGGAGCTCACAGACTCGACTGTGTACTGTCACATACATGACAGTGACAGCAGGAATAGGGGATGCTGAGCCGCAGCCTGGCCTGCGAGTCCCGGCTTTCCAGACTCTGCTGAGCCCGGGCTTGGGGTAGACAGACCCGCGCAGGCCATGACATCATGGGACTGTGACGCGCCCTGGGAGCCCCCTCCCTTCACAGTGCGCGCCGGGAATCCAGGCTCTCTGCGCCTTGACATCACGGTCCGGGCGGGCGGGTTTTGCGTCGGCCCAATGGGAGCGGCGCGCCGGCCTCCCCTTTAAGGAATGTTGTGACCTGACGTCACCCGGGCGAGTTACCTCCCCGAGTATCCGCCGCCAAGCTCAGCGTGAGCCCCGGAGCCCTTGAGCGTGAGGTACAGAGCCCCCGGAGCCCCTGAACCGCGGCCACATCCCCACGCCGTGCGCCCCGGAGCCTCGGCCTGCGCGCCCCGCCGGGCCCGCGAGATGCCCTCGGACCGGCCTTTCAAGCAGCGGCGGAGCTTCGGTGAGGCTCGGCGGGCAATCAGCGAGTGTTTGTGTGTGGGGGTGGGGGACGTGGGGGGCGCGACCGACAGGGCTGCCGCAGGTGACGTCAGCCCCGTGACGTCAGGCTCCAGCTGGACCCCAGGCTGGGAGGCAGGTTCAGGCCTGGGCCCGGGCCTGCCCGACGGCCCCAGGGGTGGGGGCTCTGGGGAGGTAGGGCCGGAGGGGCCACACCTCTGAGACAGGAGGGGTGAACCGTGAAGAGGACCCAGCCTCACTGCCCGATCTCCTTCCGCAGCCGACCGCTGTAAGGAGGTGCAGCAGATCCGCGACCAGCACCCCAGCAAGATCCCGGTGAGTCCCTCCGCCTCCTAACATCCCCACCCGGCCCCAGGCCCCGCCCCAGGCTCATGCGTTCCCCGCCCCACCCCGTTCCCAGGTAATCATTGAGCGCTACAAGGGTGAGAAGCAGCTGCCTGTCCTGGACAAGACCAAGTTCCTGGTCCCAGACCATGTCAATATGAGCGAGTTGGTCAAGATAATCCGGTGCGTGGGCAGCAGCTGTCAGAGGGGGACTTGGGTCCTGCTGGAGTCAAGCAGTGGGCCAGGCCCTGCGAAGGCTTGGGGTGGGGCATGGGATGGGGCGTTGGGTACCTGTTCTGGGGAGGTTGGGAAATGTCAAGGTCAGTGCTGGGGTCAGCACCAGATGAGAGCCTCTAGATGGGGCTGGGATGGGTGTGAATCAAACGCTGGGCAGCATTTTGGGGGAATCTGAGCTACACCCACCCAGCAGCCAGGTCCTCCTGTCCACTTCAGGCGCCGCCTGCAGCTGAACCCCACGCAGGCCTTCTTCCTGCTGGTGAACCAGCACAGCATGGTGAGCGTGTCCACGCCCATCGCGGACATCTATGAGCAGGAGAAGGATGACGATGGCTTCCTCTACATGGTCTACGCCTCCCAGGAAACCTTCGGCTTCTGAGCCAGCAGTAGGGGGGGGCTGGCCTGGGAGTGGGGGGCCCTTTCAGGCTCTGCCCAGGGAGCTCCTGGCCCCTGCACTGAGCTGCCTCTGCCCTTGGGGTCAGGGCAGGGATGCCACCCCTTAGGGGGCACCAGCCACTCCAATTCTGCCCTGGATAGATCCTGGGCCAGTCATGTTAGGGTTGTCCCTCTGGGTGCTGGCTGGATGGGGGAGGGCGGGGAGCAGCCCCCAGCACCCCTGCTCTGTCTGGTTTGTCTCTTTTTTTTTTTTTTTAGGCCCCTGCCTGTCTGTCCATCTGCCCCTCCCCTACCTGAGGCGCTACCCCCTGCCTGGACCCACCCACCCCTGAAGGTCTGGCCCCTGGCTCACTTGGCCTTGACATGGTGTATGGATCTGTGGGCACTGTCCTTCTGCAGAATAAAGATTGCTCAGGCCTGCCTGGCCCTTTGCCTCCAGCTGCTTGGGAGGGGTGGGGAGGACTCCTGGTGGAGCTGTCTCACGCTATTCTTGGCTCACCAGTGCACGGACTTGTGTTCTGTGGACTTAGGGTTCATGCTGGAAATCCACACCCTTGGGTAGTGTACCAATGCAGTATTAGGGGCCAAGCCCCTTTCCCGGAGTACAGGGTGGGTCCAGGGTAGACATCTTCATAACAAAAAAATTTATTAATATTTTTAAGTACCCACAACCTAACAAACCGTGCTCACCCTTCTTCCCTTTTCCTGCCTGGGAGGGGGCTCCTTGGTGTGCAGAGACAAAGTGGGGGCGGGGGAGTCCAAGTGGAGGTGCTCCTGGCAACCGAGGCCCCACAGACCTTGCTACCAGCCTTGGCTCCCCTTTGGTGCCAAGATTTGTGACCCTGGACTTGAACCTCATCTGTCTGAGGACTTGTCTGCTGGCGACTCTGGCTAGAGGGCTTGGCCCAGCTCCTGGCCTTCCCACCCCATGAAGTCCGTACAGCCCTGTGCCCAGCCAGGCCTACTTCAGCACAAGCATGGCCTCGGTGCCGTCCTTGGCGGTCAGGTAGAGACCATGAGTGAGGTAGTACTCTCGCCGCAGGAAGGCATAGAAGTAATCGGAGATGAGCAGGATCTGGGGGGAGAAAGTGAGTGTGAGAAGCTTTGAGGTACCTCCCTCTGAACCTTGGGTCCCTGAGGAGCTAGGCAGGTGTTGGGGAGACCTTACCCAGGGACCCACCACCTCAGGACCCACCCTTGATCCTGCAAGGTCTCCCTGGCACCTTAGAAGTGCCCGTATTGCCCTCCCTCCCTCTACCATGGTCTACACCTCCTTCCCAAGCCCTGGCCTCTGAACTCCAGTCTGGTACTTCTGCAACCAGAGGCCCCTCCACCCCAGCCAGGCCCCCTGTCAAACCCGCTTCTTCCACTGGGCACCCATGCCTCCCATCTTCCATCCAGTTGCCCAGGCCACAGAATCACCTGATTAATTTTCCCTCCCATATACAAAGCCACGAAGTCCTGTCACTTATACCTCCTAAACGCTCTCAAATCCACCCATTTCTACCCATCTTCACAGCTACCACCCCGGAGAAAGTCACTGTCAACAGCAGCCTCCTCTCTGGGTTCCCTAATCTCAAACCTTCCCCTCCCCACAGTCCATTTTCCTTAGCAGCCAGAGGTTGCTTTTCAAAACAAACCTGGTCACGTTCAAGTCTCTAAAGTCTCCCTGTGGCTCACAGGGTGGCGCTCGCACTCCAGGGTCTTGTACCTGGTCCCTGCCTGTGCGCACCAACCCCTCGCCCGGGCTCCACCTCACTCTGCTCAAGCCTCTTCGCTCCCGCTGCAAGATCTTTGCTGTTCCCTCTGCCTGGAAGGTTCTCTTCCCTTTGATCTAGTCAGCACCTGCTTGCCCTGCAGGTCGCAGAAAGAATCTTCCTCACAGAAGCCCTCCCTGACCCCCCAGATTGGGTTGTGGCCTTATCAACCTCTATTTGGTAGCACAAACTCATCCAAATGGCAGTTTGACACTCATCTCTGTGGCTGCCTGATGACTGTGCTTTCTCCCCTGCACTGGGCAGGGTTCCTGAGTGGCTCTGCCACTATGGGCCACACAATCAAAAGGGCCCTAGAAGCGCAGCCCACCATCCACCTCACTGAGGCCTGGAGAGGAATAGGGATTTGCCAAGGTCCCCCACATGCCCGATCTATAGTCTTACAATGCCATTTGTCCCAAGACCTCCAGTGCCTGGAGCAGGAGGGGCTGGGCCCAGCGTCACAGAAGGATGAGGGGAAAGGGGCTCACACTGCAGACACCACCAGATCTCAGGCACTTAGGCGCCTCTCAGACTGTCAGCACCAACCACCTCTGGGCAAAGATGGGGAGATGGACGCCCTGCGCAGGGGAGCACCTGGCTCAGGTCTCTGACCCTGAGACCCCTGTCCTGGGCAGTCTCGCTCACACTGCGGACAAAAGGTGGGCTGGCCTAGAGCAGGAGCTCAGAACCAACACCAGTGACGGCCTCAGCACAAGGACCCCACAGGAGCCTGTCCGGAAGGCTTGACGATCCCCACCTTACAGATGAGGAAGTAAAGGCACAAAGTGTTCATAGTTGGTCTGAGACTATCCCGGGAGAGCTGGACTAGTGGCCGTGACCCTGCAAGGCCATGCACCAGGGGCCCAGAACTCAGCCGCTGTGGGTATCAGTAGAGCAGGCAGAGCCCAGGGAGACCCTGAGGCCTTGCCCCACAGCTGCTCTTCAGAGGCTGTTGTCACAACAATGGCTGACCTCACACCTTGCAGCCCCTTTCTTACCCAGGCCCAAGGTTCCCGGTCCAGGGAAGGGGAGCCTGGAGCTGTGGCTGAACTGGCGAGGGGCTGATCCCCAAGCCAGGTCAGATGAGGGGCAGGTACAAATTCAAAAATTCACAAAACAAAACAAGCCAACTCCAATGTCACACACAATCAGCTGGAAAAGTAGTAGGAAGTCAAAATATTAGGTATTAGGTGGAACCATGTGAAATTGCCATTTCTGCAGATCAGGAATGGTTGAATATTGGCAATTTCATATGGTTCAATCAAATATAAGGGAAAAACACCCAAGAAATACAAATAGTAGAGTAAGCATGTTATTTAGAAGTACCAGAACCAGTAACTATAAGACCTCAATGAGTTGTTCTTTTTCCTTATAAGTCTTAACTTTGTAAATTAGGTACATGTATGAAACTGATAAAAATACAAATCCAATGAACAACAATCAGCCAATCCAAAGAACAGCAGAGGGAAAGAGAAAATAGCAACTTCTCACTGGAGAAGCCTGGCAAACACCATCTGAATCCAACGAGGAAGGGTAACAGCATGAAATCGTGTGGCTAGCACGTACAGCCTGAGCATTCCAAAAACCCCAAACCTGGTCTCATGACGAGAGAAGCATCAGACAAACCCAAAGTGGGGACACGCCACAGGCTACCTGGCCAGTGCACCTCAAGACCATCCAGGTCATGAGAAATTAGGAAAGACTGAGGAAGCGAGCAGAGGACATGGGGGAGACATGACAACTAAGTGTTAACGTGGCACCTCTGATTGGATTCTGGAAGAGAAAGAGGACATGATGGGGGCAAACTGGTGAAATCCATGCCAAGTCTGGAGTTAATAATAACGGACCAAGGCCAGTTTCTTGGTTTTGACAAATGTACTACAGAAATATAAGCTGTAAACAATGCAGGGAACAGGGTGTGGGGCACATGAGAACGCTGTGCTATCTAAAATGATTCCCAAATTGGGGCGGCCAGTTAGCTCAGGTGGTTAGAGCACAGGCTCATAACACCAAGGTTGCCGGTTCGATCCCCACATGGGCCACTGAGCTGCGCCCTCCACAACTAGATTGAAACAACTACTTGACTTGGAGCTGATGGGTCTTGGAAAAACATACTGTTCCCCAATAAACTTTTAAAAAATAATAAAAATAAAAACATTAAAAAATAGATTTATTTAAAAAATAAAAAAATAAAAAATAAAATTATTCCCAAATGTAAAAGTTTATTTTAAAAAGCAATGCACTATTGTTATATGCAACAACATGGATGAGCCACAAAAATATTTTGCTGAATGAAAAGAAGGTTTCAGGAAATGTATATGTAAAATTTGTGTATTTCACTGTATGTAAATTTCACATAAGAAAACTGTAAATAGGTACTGAGCTCAGGTTAATGATACACATAGTGAGATATTTAGCAGGAAATGTACTGAGGCCTACATTTCACTTTGAAATATATTTTTAAAAATAAGAGATCGAGGGATGGATAATTTGTGATCAGATCATACAAAGAAAGCAAAATGTTAATGGTCTAACAGAGTCCAGGTGGTTGGTAGATGGGTGTTCAATGTTGAGTCTTTCAGCTTTGCTGTGTGTGTGAAAATTTTCATAATGAAGTGTCAGGGGAGGGTGGCATGGAGGGAAAGAGCCCTGTGTGCTGGCTTGGTCTGTTTGGAACAGAAGGTCACAAGTCCTGAGTGGGTGCCCTGCCCCAGGGACAGGACACCAGGCTGGCACGGAGGCTTGGCTCTTTCCGAGGGAAGCCCCTGGCTGGTCACAGGCTGGCTGAGACAACCTCTTCTGACCTTGAAGCTTTCCCTTTGGGCTAAGGAGAGGGATTTCCCAGAAGCACTGGGGTTCAGCCAACACAGCAGCTGTAGACCCAGAGCCCCTGTGTCAAGTCTGGGCAGGGGAAGTTGGGCAAGGGGCAGTGGAAATACCATGGGCGAATTAGTGGCTGTGTGACCCTGTGTAAGTCACTCCCCTTTCCCTGAGCTGCATTTCCCTCGTCTGTAAGATCAGTGATAAACTCTAGTTTATTACCTGCAACGGTGGCTCCCCTAGTCCTTGTTCTGTCTTTTGGTGCTTTGAGTCCTGAAGAGCAGCCGTTCTTTAAAGCTGCCCTCACCGAAGGCTGAGCCCCTCAGCCTCGCCTGCCACCGACCACCAAGTCCTGCCAGTTCCCTGCCTCAGGCTCTGACTCAGCCCCCTTTTCTCCCTCCCATGGTCTCCCTCATCCTCCTGGGGCCTGCGGGATCTCTCTCTCTCTCTCTCTCTCTCTCTCTCTCTCTCTCTCTCACACACACACACACACACACACACACACACACACACACACACACACACTTCACTTGCCTGCTCAGAAGCCAAAGGGCTCCTACTTATCCCTTGAGGGGCATCATCTCCATCCCCTGCCCTTGGAGTCTTCCCTAACCCCACGCTCAGTTATGTGACCCCTGAAGTGAAGGCAGTTCCCGTTGCCCTCCCCACCCAATGGGATGGCATCTGCTCCAGCTCGTGGGCCCAGACCCTGAGCGGGGCTGGAGCTCTGGGAGTAGTTGGTTGGTCCCCACCCCCGTGGCACTGCCCCAGACAGGGCTCAGTCAGACCACATTCCTCTCTCACTGGCAGCCACGAGGGCTCCAGGATTCCACAGTGGGCCACGATGAAGGTTTAATGGGGCGGTTGAAAAAAGGCACTCAGGGACAGAGAGGGGGAGATGAACCAAACAGGACACGCCCTGTCACGGGGTGGGAAAGAGGAGAGACAGGAAGACCAGCACACTCTGAGGATCTGCCATGGGCCAGGCCCTTTGACAAGAAGCCTATCACTGCATCTTTACAACATCCTGTGGCAGGGCTTATGTGCCCCACTTAGAGATGAGCAAACAGAGGTTAAGGGTCTTGCCTGGGGTCACATGGGAGTAAGCGAAGCGTGTAGGCTGCAGTGCTGACCTGCCCACCTGAGGCCCAAACCCTGGTTCTTCCCATCCCCCCAAAACCTCCCCAACTTGAGGTGCTAGGGGCAAAAGGGGTTGCACCCACACAGGCTGAATCCTGCAACAGGCCCATGCTGACACTTCCTAAACACTAACACCCCTGTGGAGGCTGGGCTCCCCATTTACAGCTGTCTCCTAGCCAAGGAGAGCGAGTTTTTTTGGAAAAGGCAAAACAAGTGTCGGAGACGTCCAAGCCAGCAGAGGCCAATCAGTGCGCCTAGAAGCTGTAGGGCTCAGGAGAGCGGCCTCACCCACCACGGGCCCCTGGGTGGCAGCTTCCTGGAGAAGCAGGTGCTGTCACCCCAGGCATGTCCCAGTTCC